AATTATGCAATTGCCTGTGTTGCCCCCCTCATGGGCTTTAGGTAGATCCGCCCCTGTTTGCATGAAATGAAATATTAAAGAATGTAGGGTGATATTTGTGGTAGGAATAAAACATAGGAGTGATATATTTGACATTAATGCTGTATATGGGCGGTATGCATGTAATATTAATGTTTTGATTCTTTGATGTTAGATATGCAAATAACTTGGAATAAAATGGTATGTATGTAAATCCTCAAATACGAGAGTTTAACTATCTCATTGAAATTTATTTTACGGACTGAAAGGATGAATATTACACTGGATGACATGTACTAGAATTTTTCACATATCAACATAGTTCACCTTGATATTTTGGTTATTAAAATTTGAGAGGTGGCATATTCGTTGATTTTAGGATTAACATTTTTTTTTTCACGTTTCAAAATAAATATATATTTATTATTTATTAAGCTACATTATTACATTTTGCTTATTTTGTTTCACCCAATAATATTATGGTAGGAGTTGATAATCATTTATTACATTATGCCTACCACATAGAATATGGAAATAATAATGTGGAATTATTGGATCACATCGTATATTAATTTTGTAATAAATTTGTCTTGTGACAATGTATCCTTTAATTACCCCCATTAAATTTAAATCCTGCTTATTTTAGTCATCTAATTATGAACCTCAATAATGAGTGATGCTGTCATTTCAATAAAACAGTATTAATTAGTATGCCATATCAATTTTTCAAAATTAATATTTTTAAATAACAAGCTTTTATGAATTTTCAATGAAGCGTATATTTAGGATGATCTTGATATTTTATAAAGTTAATTGCATAGCTGTTATATAAATAATAAATTATTTTTTATATTTGTGAAAATAGTTTTTCTTCATAAAATTTTTTAACAAATTGTGAGAAAATAATAAGAAAGTAATAGCTAAATGAAATTGTGATTATTGTCTGAAAGTAAAGCCGCTAGAAAACTATCTCCAGTATATCCTAAGTTATTGTTAAGCACATAGATCTGAGTGGCGCAATATTATATTGGTTGCTCGGCCGCTAATGACTTGAAAGATTATTACGTGCGAAGTTCAGACACAACAATTTGGTTTTGTGACTGTGAATAGTAAAAAATGCATGGGTGAACAGTAAAAGCACATTGGTGAACAATAATTGTGCTTTTATTGTTTACAGTCACGAAATCAGACGGTTCTTTATGTCTGGACTCTGTACGTAATAATCTCTCCAATAGCTAATATAAATTTCATTTTGAACGAGCTTCTTAATGTATCTTAAAGCAACTTTTTAGTAAAATTTTAATTTGTTTTACTTAAAAGCTGCTTTAAGAAGCAGTAGGAAAGTCGTCCCAAATGAAGCCATAGTTATAATCATGATTTCATTTAATGACTTTTTATTTGGAACAATATTTATTTTTTATTTTATTTTGTTTTTATAATAATATGAAATAAAATACATTTTGTATTGGTTGTATAATAATTTCAATAGAAGAGGGAAGCATTTGGAAGCACTTTGATTCAATAATATAGGCTTCGTTTGTGATAGCTTTTTAACTACTTTCTAAATTTTTATTTTTTTTTCATTTTTAAAAAACTATTTCAATAATTCAGCTTATCACAATATTCTTATCTTAGAAAAATAGTATCTCCAATATTTTTCATCAGGATTCAGATACAAAATCATACAATTTTTTTTTTTTTTTTTTTTATAATCAAAACTCAAATCTAATTTAAATCAAATCATGAATCCAAACTTGTTGAACTCAATCAAGTTCTGTCATACACTCATACAATTCATTCAATCACATAACATTCACTTATGCAATCAATTATGGATGAAAAATAATGCACTTTAATCTACCAAATCTATGTGACTCAGAATCAATTTTCTATAGCTCTTGTAACAATTCAACAATTATTCTAATATCAACTTTGTAATGCCCCAAATTTTAACTTGGAATAATTATTTTTTATCTTTTATTAGACAACAATTAGAACTACCTATTTTTTATCGACATAAATATTAGCAAAAATAAAATTATTGATCAAAACATCAATATGTACATATATATTTATTTCTCCAATATCATATGTAATACGCATGAATCATACAAAAATAATCTATCATTTCAGTCATGAGGTCAAAAGAATAACAACATGAAAAAATAAATGATTAATAATAAACTTATAGAAACCTGACTAGCCTCGCACTTATGATCCTCTAGCTTGATCTATAATCATTTAAATCAAATATAATAAGCTAAATAACTTGTAAAAAAACAATATTCATGAATTAGTTTAATAACAATAATAATCATTTGATCATGAATCGGTAAAGAAACAATTAAACTCACATAAAATAGCAACAAAATTAATAAGTAGTAAAAAAAGTATGGTATAAAAACCACTAAACCAATACATGTGTCAAAATTAAACCATAAAATAACCATCGTATCAGTGCTATCAATTAGTGACAATCAGTAAATGAATCATGTACATTGGTAAAACTAAAGCATTGGTAAAGACTATTAAAAATCATATTAATGCATTAAACCATGAACAACAATTAGGGGTGTCAAATGGGTTGTCGGGTCATGTTCGAGATTGATGGGGGATGTGGCGTGAACTTTGAATTGTATAAAAAACTTGATCAAGTTCCATGAAAACGACGAAGCGATTCGAAGTCTAAAATTAGTTTTTCTTCTTTTTTTTTGTCATCTCTTTCATTCCCTTCCTCCTCTTCTTTGATAAGACACAAGACTAAAATTTATATTTTTCATTAAAAAAAAATATTTCAGAAATTCAGGCTATCATAAAATGTATAATAAAAAAAAAGTTAAACCTACAAAAATGAAACTAGCTAAAAGTCATAAATACAACATAATTCAGAATATCATACAGAAATCGAATAATCAGACGGAATCAAATAATCAATATAGAAGAACTGAACCGGATTCATATAACAGAATTATTCAAATCACATTTCATATCACATTTTAAATCAGATTTCAAATCACATATCCCTGACCCAGATAGAATCTAAAAGGATTCTGACCCCTTATGCCTCCATTCCCTGACAAAGACAGAATATCAAAGGATTCTGCCCCCTTATGCCTCCTTTTGTGCTAACAACACCAGAATATATCAGATATACATAATTATCATATCATAATTCATTTTCATATTTCTAGACCCAAATAAAATCTCAAAGAATTATGGCCCATTATGTCTCCCTTCCTTGACCAGACAAAACCTCAAAGGATTCTGACCTCTAAAAACTCCCTTCTGACATCATTCAAATCAAATCATATCAAACATCAAATCATACATATATCAAAATGTCGTCATAATGTATAACGACAGATAATAAAAAAATCCAATGGATCAAAATTCACAGTTTTAAAAAATTTTGAAATTACTAGAGATCATATAAAACAACATTTCAAAGTTTTTATTGTACTGAAGCAACATTTTTCAAAATCACAATAATTTTCTATATAAAAACCCCACATATTTCAAAATACTTGGTGAAAATTTTTTAGAAAATATTCAAAATGTGCAAAATCATAATCTATAAAACAAACCAAAAGTTACTCGATAAAATTTTACCGGTGTAAAGTTATACCAATTTTTCGCTAACGGAAACAAAACTTTAATCGGAACATTCGTCAAAACTCACATTTCTGAAAATTGAGACAGGCATAATGTGTCTTACCTCGAGTTTATCAACTAGTCCAACTGCGTCGTCGAACAAAAACGGATTAAAGACGCCCAAAACTTGACTTTTAAACGTTAAATTCATATAATAGATTTTTGTAATAAAATAACTAAATGACATACAAGTAATTATTCTAATTGTTAAGATTTTAATCGTTAAATTCATATAAAATTTTTTATATATTCAAATTCAGGGATACAAAAATTATGAAAAAAAAAAATCATAAGGTAGATAAGCATGTTTAGAATACTCTGATGAAATCGATTTGTAAAACGAACACCTAATGGTTCTAAAAGACCCACTTGTATTGATAATTTTTAATTTATTAATGAAGTGCAACAATACCTATAAAATTAGGGGAAAGTTTTTTCTAATTATAACACAACAATATCTATGTTATGGTGAAAAAAGTTTGTAATTTGAACTTATAATGTCTCAAGAAATAATTTTTTACTGTTACGGATCAAAAAATATATGTTAAAATTTAAAGATTATTACAATGCATGCATAGATACCAACTCAGACGCTGCGTAATCATTTTAACTGATTCTGACCTTATGATTTTTTTCATTTATATGTTTTTCTCGTATAACTCTGGTATCTCTTATAACAATTCTCTTATCCATTGGATTTGTAAAACATCTTCTCATACTTAAAATGAATATTTCAGCATGAAACATTGATAATATTTTTAATATGATTTGGATATTTGATATTGTATATTTATAGAAATTTAAGTGTTATATAAGTAAATATAAAAAATTGTTATTATAAATGTAAATACATAAGATTTTATGATTTAAATCTCATGTAAAAATTGATTTACGTACATACCACAAAATTTTTATGTGATATTTATTACATAAATATTATATTATTCTAATATCTACAATGGCTTGCATAAAAATTATATTTACATTAATAATATTCAAATGCGTCATTTCAAAATTTTAATTAGTTGATCTAAACTCATGAGACATTTTATAAATTACACCATCAACCCCAAAAACAACAATAAAAATGTTAGCCCAATTATGGGAAAAAATTGAAATCTTGAAATTCACCAACAACCCCAAAAACAACAATAAAAATGTTAGCCCAATTATGAGAAAAAATTGAAATCTTGAAATTTATATAAATATAATATAAATTATTTATATATTCTAATTATTTCAAAATAGAATTAAAGAATTTTAAAAAATCAGAACTTTTTTTTTTTGGAAAAATAAGAAAAATTTAAAACCAACCCTAAAGGCCTAAACTTTATAAAAATTTTTCCATCCAAAATTTACCGGAGAAAGAAAAGGGCAGCCTTCGGGCCATTGATCATCCAGCAGGTTTATAGAAATTCTTTCTGCTGCAGAAGGCGATCTCTCTGCTTCGACATTCCATTAGTTTCTGCGGCAGTAGGGAGGAGGTATTCTCCACAGCCTCTCTCTATCATCTTTATCCGTCATTCTTCTAGATAGGCTTTTTGTTAATTTTTTTTTTTGAATCTAGGGTTTTTTTATCACATTGATATTCTGATTTCTTCTCTCAATTTTATATATAAAGCTTTTTGTTATATTTTTAGCTTTGATTATAAATTTCTGCTAGATTATTCTCCTTTCTACGTGCGTCGACGGTGAGTTTGATGTAATTGTGTGGACCGCGTTTGTGTTTACGTGTTCGTGTGGTTTTGATCGATTGGTGAAAGGTTGGCTAACGTTTAAATTATTTAATTTGAACTTTAGAGTAGATGGCATCGAAGTTTCTCCAGCTGAAGGTCAAGGCTGCGCAAGCATCACAATTTGTTGCTAAGCATGGAGCTGCCTACTACAATCAGTTACTGGAGCAGAACAAAGAGTATATCGTCCAGCCACCTACATTAGAGACATGTCATGAGCTTTCGAAGAAGCTGCTTTACACACGAATGTCAAGGTTAGTTTTCTGGTTGGGCGTTTTCTGCTTTAATTTATATTTTGCTATTCTAATTTTAAGTTAACCTGTCACTTGGTCATCAATGAGAGTAATGGATTTTAGGTAAGTTTACTGAAGTATTTCTTGCTTAAAGAAGGCCTTTTTCTTTAATACAGGCCTGGACAAAAGGAGAGTAAAATTTGGGAAATTGTAGCATGCACTTTCTTTTCGGTTGTGTTTGAAATTTAAGGTTTGTATTTGATCAGTTTGGATAGTTTGAGACAGTAATTAGACAAGCCGATTAATCTCGGTTGAAAATTGAGAAAATCGATTAGGCAAAATTATTCTTTAAACCAAAGTAAGCGGAATAAAGCTTTAGTTTGGTCAGTTTAGCTTGAACCAAAATATAATTAATTGTAATAATAAACATAATTATTTTTTGCTTTAATAACATATATTAAGAATAATACTAGTAATATTTCTTAAAATTTATGATTTTGACATGTGAAATAAATAATATTCAATTAATATTTAGGTTACTTGTTTATTTTAACGACTTTATTGGTTTATTATTTGAAAAACTTAATATAGTTCAACTATTGATTGGATTGGTTTTACTAATGTAAAAACTGCACTAATAACAAAAAAACTAAAAAACTCAATATTACAACCATGATCTAATCTATACTTTAATGACCGAATCAAAGCAACAAATAAGATCGGTTTAGTTTGTTTTTTTCATTTTATCCAAACAATACACACCATATGTACATCTATTAAATTGCTTGCATGTGTAATGGCGTTTGATAGTGTTGAAGCATGCATCAAAATGACAAACAGAAGACATGTGAACCACTTTTTTTTTGTTTTATCAGGATGTATAATTGAATAATCTTAATAAGTTATCTATTAAGAAAAATGCTCGTTACTTAAATTTGGATATGCATCATGAAAAGGTGCCATATAATTACTCATATATTTATTAGGAATAAATCTCCAATGTTTAGTTTAATCTCGAGCTGTTGACAGGAGTATGTTGAGCTCCTTCAAAGCTCTTAAAGCTCCTAATTGGGCTGACCTGCACGATTGCAAATTCTTGAACAATTTTGTGCAGAAGTTTTGTTTGAATATGATATTGATAAATGTAGAACGTGGGAAGAGGAGCAATATGATACTATAATTAAACTGTAACAAAAGAAACTCACTTGATTGGTATTCCTCATGTTTGAAGAAATTGCTTGCAAGTGCGACTACATCTGATAATGTTGAATAATGCATCAGAATGACAAACAAAAGATGCATGAAAGAGCATTTTTATCAACTTAAGATGTATAATTCTATAACGTCAGTATGTTCCCTATTAAAAAAAAAAATGCTACTCATTGAAGGCAGGATGGACATTGCCATATAACATATTATGTAATTTTTAAGATGTATAATTCTATAACGTGAGCATGTTCCTCCAAACTCTTGCCAAAAATATTAATGCACGTCATTGCTTATAAAAGTTTATGCAGGTCAACACTACTCCCCTACATACTCCTCTAGCCATCTCCATCTTTCCCATTCCCATCATCACCCCGTAGCCCCCATTATCCACTAATTTCACCCCTAACAGATCCACAATCTGATTGGAAATGAAATTGTGGGTTATCCCACTATCGATCAGCACCACCGACTCACGATCAACTATTTCTCTCTTCACTTTCATGGTGTGATTCGGGGCGAATCCAACCATTGAGTTTAGAGAGACTTCTGCCACATCCAAATGTAACTTCTCCTCTTCCTCCATTTGCCCGCTCTTTCCTCCCTCTTTAGTTTCCTCGTTATTACAGACGATGAGAACCTGAAGAGTTCGATCTTTACACCATGCCCTGACATGTACTTCTTATCGCATCTGAAGCACAACCCCCTTGCTCGCTTCTCCTGCAACTCCTTCTCAGTAAGCTTCTTGAAATTTCCCCCGAATCCCCCTCCTCCAGACTTCTCCTTTGGTACTTTATGCAAACCTCCCGATGCAGCTCCTTTGAGAGCTACAAAAGTGGTACTCATCCTATCATCAGTATAGAAGCCACAGAGAGAAATAGATAAGTCCGGGTGCTAGTGGTGTAGGGCCTCCGATCGAACATTGGGGAATAAAAGATACATTTCACTCAGACCATACGCCAAGTCTGTGCGAACTCTTTAGTTATCTTTTTATAGTTCACGTGTCCCTTGCTGCAAGCACCTAGATCCCGTTGCGTTGATTGTCAGTCATTGTGCACCCCCATCCCCCCGATGCTGTTGCCTCTAGCCCCCCTATCCAGATGCTTTTGGTTGTCAACCATCTGTGCCAACTCCATGGTTTCCCCCAAGTCATGCAGCCTCATCACTTTCATAGTTGCTCTGATCTCTGGTTTGAGTCCCTTCATGAAGTTCCTCTCTAGCACAGACTCAGAAAGCTGATATAGCCTACTAGCTAGGTATTCAAACCGATCACGGTACTCTGCCACGGTCCCCTCTTGCTTCAGGGCAAAGAACTGTTCATAGAAGTCCTCTCCCCTACTGGTTCAAAAACGTTCTAGTAAGCAATCTTTGAACTCTCTCCAACTCCGGATGGGTTGCCTCATGTCCCTCCACTGATACCATGCCAACCTGTTTCCTTCCAAGCACAATCCATCTGCTGTCAATTTCTCCCCCTCGGTCAACCCATTGATTGCAAAGTACTGCTCCACCTTGTAGATCCAGCTATGTGCATCCTCGCCCTCAAAGATGGACATCTTCAGTTTCCTCACCCTCAGGTCATGGGTCACCCCCGTTTCCCCTAACCCCTAAATAACCTCCTATTCATCGAAGAGGAGGTGTTCCCCAATGGTCACAATATTCCCTTTGGCGATAATACCCGAGCCCTTCCTCATATTCCCCTCTTCTCCTTTCATATACTACAACCCGACAGTAAAATTCATCCCTTCTCCCAACAAAATTAGCACCCCTTCTTTCATAGCCCATACTCGTCTCCTCCCTAGAAAGTTGTTTTAGAGGAGGCATTCCATCATTTCCCTCAAGGATCTCCACTTCCGGATTCCCCTTCTCCCTAAATGGGTTCGGATTTCCGCACCTCCCATTATCACTAGTGGTCTTCCTTGCTTTCGATGTCGCCGGATTTTGCTTGCCTTCAAGCATCTTCTTCATCATGTCTTCCAAGGCGGCAAACCTTCCATCCATCTTTTCATAGATGGAAGCAAATTGATTATGAAAATTAACGATTTTTTCCTCAAAATCGGTCTTTAGTTGACCTATTTCTCCCTCCAATACTTCAACTTTTCTTCCGGCCATTTTACTTTCCACGATTTACAAGAGAATCTTCTTGCGGATGAAAATTCCTTGCTGAAATTTCTGGATTTCAGCCGCCAATGGTCCCAAGATAACGCTCTGATACCAATTTGATAGGAAGTACTTGAGTTCGCAAGTAACCCTAAGGGTAATACTTGAGTTCGCAAGCAAACCTAGCTAGATTGGGTGGAAAACAATGAAGAAAACTATTGTTTACAAGAGTCAAACAGAAAATAACAGTAGATTTTCTTAGGAAAACTGGGAAAACTGAGATAAACAATGAGGAAATCCACTAATAAATGAAAGAAAATAGCAAATGATACAAGTTTCTTCAATTCAAGAGGAAGAAACAACTCTCCAAATCTCTAGCCAAGCCTAGAGCCCAGGAACACAAACCCTAGATCTCAAATTGCTTTTCAAATTCAAGATGACACTCATCCTAGCCAAAAGGAGCATACTTAAAGCAAAATACAAATATTTAATGCTAAATCCCTAAACAGCCCTCCACATTTGAATTCCCCCCCCCCTAACCCAATAAATGATTATGCACAAGGAATTAATGTCGCTACTTGGGATTTGGGGAGGTGGGGTTGTTGTAATTTGGGGATCTTGTGATTCTGTTTAGAGAAGTCAAAGATGGAGTTAGAAAAAGAGTATTTTAGCTTAAGGTGCAATTGATTGGAAGATTCAGATAAAGTGAAGAGGGAAGCAAGATGGGTGAATATAGCTTCGGGTATGGAATTGGATAATTGAAATCAGAAAAGTGAGTAAGGGTTGTCATTAGTAGTGAAGTTGGTGCTTAGTGAGTTTGGATATCTGATTTGATCTTGATGGGAAGAACTGTTTCTATGACTTAGGGGATCTCATAACTGAGATGTGGTGTTGGGGATGGGTGTTGCGACATAAATGATGTCACGATGGGGATCTAGTGTGAGACCTTATGAAGTTGGGAATTAGGTATCATATTTGGAGTCTCTGTTGTGAGGATAGATTTGATGAAACTAGCAACTAATGATGTGTGAATCACTGAATCTCGGTGTTAGTTATGAACATGATGAGATGGAGGCGGAACACAGCGGAAGGCTCAACAAGAGAGCAATTGTTGCAAATCCGAGATGAAGAGGGATAAGCAACGATTTGAGAATGCCGGTAACTCTAAAAAATGTGAGATTTAGAAGTTGGGAGAAGAATCACATCACAAAGAAAATTAATTCATGTTTTCTTGATGCCTATTACTCCCCAAAGATAAGCATTTATACAAATATTGCTTTATTAAGTAAATTGTTAATGTAGAAAAGTTATTTGTTATTAAAGGATTATATAGTACCTTTTTTAAATGCACATCTGATTTTTTGTGAAAGGGCTATTGAATTATGGTGGAGGATGCATATAAATTTGTTTTTCAACATCCTCATCTAAGAAAGCATTTTTTTTTTTTCATTATATTATTGTATAATCAACCAAGGTTGCAGAGATGAGGATGCTTAGGTGGATGAGTGGCTTTACCCTTAGAGATAGGATAAAAAATGAGCATATATGTGAAAAGGTTGGAGCAGCTCCGGTGGAAGATAAGATTAGAGAGAGTCATCTTAGATGGTTTGGTCACATTTAACAGAGGCATTCTGATGACCTGGTTAGGAAAGTTGAGGTTTTAGATTTGTCTTATGTTAAGAAAGGTAGAGATAGACGTAAAAAGACTTGGTTAGAAA